CCCTGATCAGTCTGGATGAGGAGAAGAAAGAGTATGGGACGCTGTTTCAGAAGAAGCTGGAGAAAGTGGAAGGGAGTGTGGCAAGGAGAGACAGGAGGATGTCGTCGTCGATGGATAATGGTCATTTCAGACGAGTAAGTCACGCGTTTTCATTATTTTAGCGTGAAATGATATTGCGTTGTACGTGTTGACGTCGTTGTGTCTACATAGTTTGATGCTTTCTTTCATTTTAAAATTTTGGTAAAGGATTAAGTTCTTTAACCGCCATCAGCCAGAATACATAACAATTCGCGCGCGTAGATTTAGACTAATTTTGTTACACATTCAGGTGCAGGTAGCTGGACAGAAAAAATATATACAAACACTGAAAACACGAATTTCTGAAAATGACGATGAGACGAAAAATAATTTGATTAGGTAAATGTAAATGTGTAGCTGTATTATGTTTCAGTGTGGTTTCGTAGAGTAGTGGCATCAGCCAATGCGGGTTACCATCGAAAGATGTTGTGAAGAACATTTACAGTCCGCTGCATTTAATAATTATAATTTTTGGTTTGCAAATAAGTTCACAGTTCACCCTTGCAAGTACTACTAAATTAGAGTTTTGTTCGCATGCATGTGCAATGTTTTTTGGGCGGACTTTCCAATGGTTCCCAGCTTCGAACTGAAAAAAGGGCGGTAATCAGCGTCGGTGGTCAGTTTTTGTGAATGAAAGAAACTCATAGGATATGGCACATCTCTCCCGCTGTCAGTTATGTCTATCCATCGAAACGTGGTTGCACTGCCAACTGTCCAGTCAGGTCGCTGTTTTCATTCATGTTGCGCTTTCATTCATTCATTTTATTCATTCATAAAAATATCCCCGGCGACTGCTTGGCTGGCTCATCAGGCCTGACTGCATGAGTGTGTGTACTGTGTTGCTTTGCCAGACCAGATGGCGCGGCGGAATAAATGAATGAATGAAATAAAAATAAAGTGGTGTGGTGTGGGAGCCGTGCCCATTCATCGGGGTATAAATCATTAATGCCGGTCCGATCCGCTCTCTGCTCTCATACTCCCGCACACATGTCACAACAAGCCTCTTGATTCATTCATCCTGCCGACCGGAATACTTGCTGATCCGAAGTGGTTGGTCAGGAGAGCAAAAGTGGAAAAATAATCCATTGCGAACCACCGACGTTGCTTTTATGCCAACCGTTGATGGTGCGAAATGGAAGGGTCAATAATAACAAATTTATCGATTTACAGATTAAACGTAGCTCCGTCGATGATGCAATAGTTTTCGTAAGCTGGAAAAAGTGAATTTAATCACGCTTTCCGATATTTTTCTTTTTGTTGCACGGTGCATACGGAATTTATATTTCACAGGCGTACATTTCTGTGATTGAGCATTGGGAGCAATCGTAGTGCACAGGTTTGCACAGTTCTTCGGAAAGCTCCGAGTATTTAACTGCTTTAGTGTAAAATGAATTTCGCATACTTCGAATATAATTATATTACTTTTTATTACTTCATGTTGCAAAATGTTGCTTACTGTTAATTTACCGGTTTATTATCCAACAGGAAACCCGATCTCAGACGGCCTCGCCGGCGTTAAGTGATCATAGCGTGGCTTCCTCCACTTTATCCGAGCCCAGTCCCACGTCAGCACTGGCGCCCTTTTCAGCCTTCTGGTCCTGTGATACCGACAAGAGCGAGGATAAAAATACCGGCTCAACAAGGACGGAAAAAGTGCTCACGTTGCGCCAGCAGCAGGTCGTCCGACTGAAGGAGCAGATGCACGATCCGCGGGGGGTCACCGTCAAGCTGCGCAAGAAGGACTGTCTGGCGTCATTGGCGCTGGTGGACGCCTTTGGATGTGTCTGGTAAAAGGCATAACATTTGCGCAAGCAGAAATTATCTTTCCATGCTTATCGTATTTCATTCAACTTTGCCCTTTTTGTTTAATATTTTCGATTTTTTCAAACTTTTTTCGTGGAAATTTCAGGGCCTTGATTTTTTTAAATGATAGATTTTTTAAACGATAAGGCTTTTCTGTTTTTGGGTGGTTCAAGTTGGCGCGTGACCTTCACGCCGTGATTTTTGCCCCGATAACCGATGGATCGTGACTGATTATTTGTTTGCGATGCGATTTTGTAAACACACGAGGCGCTGCTGTGGTGTGGTGTGAAAGATATTTTGGCAGATGGATAGCCCAGCATTTTTCTCCAGTCGATTTCCTGGCAAAATGACCGCCCGTGTGTCATTCCACAAAGTGAGCACGCTCGCGCACGCGGAATTAGGGTGTGCGTGTGTAGAACAGGCGGCGACGGGAAGCAGCCGGGCTGTAAAAGTGTAAAAGGTGCGTTGTCGCTTGATTAGGTATCTCTTCGGGTCTGCATCCGTCCCCTATCTATCGCTCTGTTTCGGTAAACAGTGCGCTAGTTTAACGGCACAATGTCAGGCCGCTTCCAATCCCATCCGGTCGTCTGGGTAGTATCGGTTATTTGGCTGTTGACGCTGGCAGGCGAAGGTGCACGTATTAATATAATCAGAAGGATGGGCCCGATCTGATTAGGACGCGCTACATGCTTTTGGTCATCGGCGTTGTGCGGCGCGGGTGTTTGGATAAACATGACATCATAGTTTCGTCTGTTGCGCAAGGTAGTCGCGCTCTGCGTGTGAACAATGTTGACCGTATGGCCGCGTTGTTGACAAAGTGTTTTTATGGTTTGTTGACGATGATCTGTCAGCGTTTAGCGCAGTTTGCTGTCGCAGGCATAAATCGATGCTCCATTCAGTGAATTTTTTTGTTGGTTTTCTGCGTAGCTTAGGCTGTTCATGAATTCGCGAAATATTCCAGTGCAGGTGATACTTCGTCGAATCGTGTAAACTGTAGCTGAACAGTTAACTGAGCGATTAGTTCCACTAAAAACATGGGGGATTTTCTGAAAATAATTAGGAAATAAATAGAAATAAGTAATAATTAAATTGATAGTATTAAATTTACTGATAATTAAATTGAAAATTGTCAGAAATTTATTATAGATAATGACTGGAAATGTATTTTTAACTTTATAAATTTTGTTCGTTAATTTTATTTGGCTTTATTTTTAGGGTGGCCGGTTGGAAACAGCGCGAACATCCCCACTTCCACTCCGTGTTCCATCTGGGCGACCAGGTGGTGTCGGTCAACGGCATCTACATTGCCCGCGCCACCGACGCCCACCGCCTCATCCAAGACGCTCCGCCCAATCGCTCCGTGGTCTTCAATCTCAACCGGGTGCCACGTGCCCGCGTGCTGGTCATCGAGCGTCAGATGGATGGGGAGAATCTGGGCCTGATGCGGGAGGGGAAGTCCGCTGAAATTAAAACCGTTGTCCCAGAGAAACCGGCGGCTAAGTTTGGCCTGCCCGCCCGCTCCGTCACGTGTGATGGGAGCAGTCTATGTAATTGGGTTCTCACGGAGATCAACCACCGACCGCTGAACTGGTTCTTTAAAGAAAACGAGGTAAATTTGATGTGTTTACTTTTATTTATACTTTTTCTTAGTTATTAATAATTTTCAGACCTTTTTTGCAAAATAATGCAGTTGTTTTGTTGTACTGAATTGTTCCGGAAAGGTTATAATTTTATTAAATATAAATAAATTTCGGCATACTTTCCGCTTGTATTTTGAATGCTTTTCAGAAGAAAATTGTGAATGCTGAGGCGCTCCGTTCAAAAATTACAAAAACTAGAAAAACGCGATCAGTGTTAAAAAATTATTCACCCTGATGTTAAACAATTTATTCTTCTTGTGACAAAATGTGTGGTTTTGTCACCGTATTTGAACGGAATTTTATACGACAGTGAATATGATTTCCAGTTTTCTGTGAAATACATGCAGCTGATTAATGGTGGTGTTTTTTTTCCTCTAGATCGATGACCGTTTGAACGCACTGGGGAAAGAAATCTCGATATTAGTGCAGCCTTCAGATCTGGTGCAGGCCATTAAGAAACAGCTTAAAACACTGCGCAACTACAAAGATTACATTGTCCAATGATGCTGTCGCCATCATCGGCACAATGTGGCTCGCTGTGATGCTTTTCCGATGGGGAGAAATCGGTTTTTTCCCCGCTTATCCCCTGTTGACGCAGTAAAGCGATCGCTTTTCGCCGGGCAGCTCGACGTTCACGACAAGGAGGAAGTGTGTGTAAATTAACCAGAAAATTGCAGCTGTTGCGGTCGTTTATTTCTCTTTCTGGCCTCGTGTTTTCTAAACGTTTTCTCTCACGTGGATCGGATGAATTACAGTTGTTCCACGGATTTTTTGGCTTTTTATTAGTTTTTATCTTGTCTAAATGTTTCTTCACACTCTCTGTGTCATGAAATTGTGCACACAATTTTTTGATTGTTTTGTTGGCGTATTTTTTACGTTTTGATTTGGCTAGTCAAGTGAAAGATGATAAGAGATTATCTGGTACTAGCAATGCTTATATGGTGTGCTAACTATCGACAACAAAAAACGTCGCACGAGAATTATTTAGTTGTTGTCGTAAAAACCAGATTTTCTGAACTTGTTTTAATTTACATACATTTGACATACACGTACACGAGATGTGTGTGTCAGAACTCGTCTCTGCTGCACTTCTACTGTAGAGTGCGAAAAGATTACTTCCGGTATTTACTGTTTACCGTATATCACATCCAAAACTTATAAGGATTTATGGTTTCGGCTCGTCGACTTTTGCAACTCCATGTGTGGCAAAACATAACGCAGCTTGCTTAATTGTTGATTGATTTGTAGTTTAAATCGCAAGAAGATTTATTTAGTTAGTAATTATAAATGCATGGTACTTGTGCATCTGTTGTACTTGTACATGGTATTATATTAGTGGAAAAGCGTTACAACTTGTATCTATACACGAAACCTATGCATACAAACAACTAACGCTGGAACCGCCCGGAAACTGGCCTGTGTGTATAGATCGTAACGTGTTTGAACGCGCTGGTGTGCGGCATGGCAAGCCTCTTTGCATACACACATACAACTATCTTGCCAGTCGATCTTGAAAATTTGTCCAAACTAAATTAAGGAATCTCATTCCTTCCTTTGAAACCAGATAGTTCCTAGTGTTTTTTAACTCCTACTTTTTTTAAATCTACCTGTTTCATAGCTTTTTGAAAGTTTATGTCTTGGTTTCATATCGTTCTTGTCTCAAGGCCTCAATCAGGGCGATCTGTGTCGTGTTATTAATTGAAGAATCGAGCTTGAGGTCGACGGATTCAGTCCGTGTAGTACTGCAGCTGTTCATAATGGTTTTCATCCCTCGCTCTGTGTCGCGCTTGTCCGCACGTTCCGAAACATCCAGCGTTTCTGGAGATCAGAGAGGTAAGCATTGTAAAACCTTCTAAATGTAGTCTTTGCTTGTAATGACTTTAAATTGGAACAGTTATTGTTTCCCTTCTAAGCAAGATTTGCGGACGTTTGTACGGAAAAATAAAGCACATTTGTCCTTGCTTTCCATAGCTTTTTAAATTTTTAATTTTCAGAAGTCGACGCTCTGGTTCAGCAGTGGGAACATTCGGAGAACAAAGCAGAAGCCTTCGAAAAAGTTGAATCTGGTATCAGGCTGTATTACATAGGCCGTTTATTTGCAGTTTATATTTACATTATTCGGGCCCATCTGTTTCAGCTTTGAATCGTATGTCCATGAAAGACGCCGATGTTATTCCGGCTGGAGCGGAAAGCGATCTGGATGAAACGCCTGACATGAAAGAGCCTGGAATTCCGGCTGAGCCTGGATATCCGGCTGTGGCTCGCGGTAGACAGTGTAGAGTAATTGCTCACATACTTTCATACAGCCGGAATTTTGTTTCCCCAGGAACACAGTATGTGTGCTTTAACTGTCGCAAGCCTGAACCCGGGCACACCACCAGTCAATGCCGTCGTTTGAACAGTCGCCGTTTTCAGCCACGTGACGGAGAACGCGCGAAGAAATTTAAAAAATTTCTGGAGGTTCGCGTGATTTAAATTTACTTCACTTACAGCCAGGATATCCGGCGATATAAATGTATTTCTCAAAAATGAAATGAAAATAATTAGATATTATTAAAAGCACTTTATTCATGGTCCTGATAAATTCAACTGCTACAGGATAAAGAGCGAGCTATGCGCCAAATCGAGGATGACCGCAAAGCGGAGGATGCTGAGATTCGCGCCCAACGTGACGACGAAATCCGCGCTGAACGAAACGCTCGCGAGGAACGCTATCGTCGGGAAGATCGTGAGCGTACGGAGCGCCGCCGTCGTGAGGATCGTCGCTGGGAGGACGTCTGGGCGGAAAAATTGCGTGTTCATCGCAACATTCGTTTTTAGGTAATTTGAGTTACGATGCATTTACGAGCGCTTAAAAGCCGGATAACCTGGCTACTAATCTGATTTCAGGTTTATGGAACAACATGAACGCAACACATCAATATGGTTGGATTTTTTGTTTTTGTAATAATATCAGTTTTGTACTGATGCTTCTGTTCCTACTGGATTATTTCGTCTGTGGCTACTTTTGTTATTTTTACATAAATGTTAGGCACTGAAGAAAGTGAATTCACTCGATTTTATGCAATCTTTGGGTAATTGGCAGACCATGTAAGAATCCTACGAAGAAACAACAAAATCTCAAATCATAAACCTTGTGAATCTGATTAAAATTCATGTAATTGCATTTCGTTGGCGGTACGAGATGTTAGTAAAAAATATCAGCCCTTCTCCTCCCTCGTCTAATTTTTTTGTGAAACTCAGAAACTGATTTACTTTTGAGATGGCACGGGTAAATAATAATTTTCACATGTTTGAAAAGAAACCACGTCGTGCTTTAGCTGCAAAAGCACGGAAGAAACGTAGCCGGAAAACCTGGCGCTTACTGCTTTTTGCAGCAGCAGCGTTTGTCGTGGACCGCCAAGAGAAGGAATTGGAAAAATTCTACGTGAGGCACGAGCTAGACTTGCAAACGATGGGAAACGATAAGCTGAAGCATTTTTTCCGGCTGGAGTGTTATAACGATTTTGAAAGACTGTACCGCGCCCTGCAGATTCCAAATGTCATTCACTGCAGCAACAATTCGAAAGTGAGTGGACGTTTTGGTTTAGCTGTCGTGCTAAGAAGACTTGCTTATCCAAACCGGTGGGGTGATTGTATGGAGCTACTCGGCCGGGAAAAAAGTCAATTATCAAGGATTTACAATGCAACAATTAACATCGTTTATGATAAGCATGGACATTTGTTGAACTCTTTAACACAACCCTGGCTATCTGGTGAACGCATAGCACTTTACGCAAAGGCGGTGGAAACAGCGAGTGGAGGAATTTACGGTAATTTAAGCCTGGTTAGCCGGCTGATCATGGATCGCCATGAAATCTGGAATTAATAACTAAGCTATTGTCGTATTGCAGACAAGTGCTGGGGTTTCATAGATGGCACAGCGCGTCCAATCTGCCGGCCTGGATTTTTGCAGCGCTTGTATTATTCCGGTCATTGCCGCGGTCACGTTATGAAGTATCAGAGCATTTTGGCTCCTGACGGTCTGATAGTGAATATGTGGGGACCGTGCGAAGGAAGCAGGCATGACGGATATATGGCACGGGAGTCTAGAATACGTGAGCGGTTGCAGATAAAAAATCTCGAGTGGGGGAAGCCGTACTTTTTATTTGGTGATAAAGGGTATTGTCTTTCGGAAGAAATCCAAGTTCCTTATAAAGGTCCGCGAATTACACCGGCTCAAGAACAATTCAATCTGATAATGTCCAGATTACGGCTAGCAGTGGAATTGGGATTTCAGAAAATCTGCTCGTTGTTTGCTTTTGGGAATTATCGGGAGAACAATAAGCTCTTTTGGCAACAAACGGGTAAAACGTATTTGGTTTCCGCCATACTAGCAAATTGTTTGACATGTCTGTATGGGTTTGAATTAATTCACCAAAAATTTTTTGTGTCTCCACCTGCGCTTGAGGTATACCTACGGACAAAGGAGCATCGAAAGCAGCCTGGATAACCGGCTAAGCCTGGACATCCGGCTGTTGCTGTATTTTTTATTGTCAGTTTATTATTAAGAATTAAACAGTGTCCTTTTTGGAAATAAAAATCAAAACTTTTATTCTGTATTCTGCGCAGACTTTTTAGTTTTTTTAGGCTTCTTAATCAAATCACCCATAAAACCAATTAACGTTTTAATCTCATCTGACCGTTTTTCTTGTTCTTTTCCGCGCTGCTCCATTTCAATTTTGAATCGCTCTAATTCTTGCTTCCGGACAGCCTCTCTTTCGGCTCGATCTTTTTCTTCCTTTTCTGCTTGCTGCTGTCGGATCAGCTCCCTTTCAGCCCGGTCTTCTTTATCCTTTTGGATTCTTTCTGCGCGATCTGCCTCGACCCTCTCCTTTTCCGCAGCCCGATCTAAGGCCCGCTCTTGTTTCTCCATAGCATAACTAATTTGATCGCCTGCTGACATTTTTTCCACAGCGGACTGCAAGCCTCCAGCTAGCGCTGCTAACTGCTGCCTGCTCCCACGGAGGTGTGTCGCCTTCCTCCGAGCAGCCTCTGCCACATCTCTAATGCCTTTAAATGGTGACTTCTTTGGTGTTCTAACACCAGCCGGCTTTCCGGCTTTTTTTGTTGTTTCACAGTTTGTTCTGATTAAGCTTGAGTTAGCACCTGGAGTAGCTTCACTGACAGCCCGCATTTGAAGACTGTCTTCTAAGCCGGATTGCCTGGCGATCTCTTCAAACGTCGTAGAAGACTCAACTGACCATCCTTGTTGATTTTAATAAGGTCGTCTCCTGCAGAAATAAAGAAGGACAGTTGCTAATTTGCTCATACCACGACAAAATTGAAATACTTGACCTCAGATGAAAATGAAGTCAAAATTTTTCAACGTACTGTCGAAGTGCATTTCATCGCAGCGTTCTTCCAGGTCACCATTCTCAAAGTCACCATCGTAGCCACTTGTTTCAGCAGTCAACAAATCGCCAAATTTCTCCAACGAGATCCCGCTCGTCATCGCTAGTCTAGTGGCTCGTGCGCGCAATGAAATGGCTGCATCTTTTTTGGCCTTTTCTGGTTTGCGAACAGCAAGAGGCGCTGAATCCTTATAACTGGTAATTTGCTCCATCACCTAGTAAAACAAAATGTGAACTTTTATAGTATTTTAGAAAAGATGAAAGGAGATACGCCTGGATAACCGGCTGCTTATAGATCCTTTTTTGATACCTAAATTTGTTGTTTTGTAAAGCTTAAAAAGCCAAACATACCGTATATGCCATAAAAACTAAAAGACACTAAAGAATAATAGAAAACAGTAAAAAATCGACAAGCCTGGATATCCGGCTGGCGAATTTTGATATTTACACTACTGATTTTACGGCGTTAAAGATATGAATGAGAAGTCAGCTGGGAGCTTTTGCGCTTACCTGCATGTATTCGTCAAACACTTCGAGATCTCGTTCCGTCCCGGTTGGGCGATCCTCGTTATCAATGGATTTAAACACCTTCAGATGTCTCTGCACCACTGCTTTAAGAGCGACCGTATCTGCCTCCTTAACAGGAATGTTGTCGTCCCCGTTGGCTAATTTCACGGCCGCGATCCATGCTTCTCTGCGCTCTACCGACTTGTCAGGATAATCAAAAGGGTTTTTTTCGAGGACGGCTTTCAGCCTTATTAGCGTCTTCTCATCGGCGGGCATCCGCTTCCGTTTTCTTTTACCTTGCGTTCCCGTGAATTCTTCCTCGTCAGCCAATTCTTCTGGCTCAGCCGGATCTCCAGGCGTAGCCGGGTTTCCAGGCTCAAGGTTTGTAATCACATCATCCAGACCCATTAAGATATCTCGCGGAAGCCCATTGGTACAAGAGGGCAAGATATTTAGCATTGCATTCGGCTGGGAAACCAGCTCAGACTCCGTGGCCGCGCTGACTGGCTGGTAAGACTTCATAAAGGCTTTTTGATAACTGGCCGCTGATACTCCTGCTGCAGCGTTATCGCTTACTGGTGCAGTTTCTTTGCGTTTTATCGCAAACACTTGTCCCGGTCTTTTTGGGTCGGTGAAATAGAAAAACGAATCCGTCGAGACCATATCGTGAGCGGACATTTTCACTTTAAAATATTAAAATTTTTAAAACCTTGCTTTTGCAAGTCCAGAGTTCTGATTTTAAAAACTACAAAGAAATTCGAATATTTTTGCATCCCAGTAAATTTCGGAAAATTTGCCCATGGGTTAGGAAAACGGGCAAGTGTTCGCTGCATCGTAGATGCACGCCATATATGCTAGGTCCAAAAATGAGCAAGAGGCGGGATTGCCACACATTCACTTAAGGCCCTTACGAGTATGCATTTTTGGCACCGCCCTCACACATGCATAGATCTAATTTGCGCGGCAGCAAATCGCATTATTGTGGGTTCGGCCATGGCGTAACTTATATAGATGGGTTCTTAGTTGTGTAACATACAAGTAGCAACGCAATGCCCGGATTTATATCTATATAGAAAATGTAGTGCATGCTACATGTACATGCCCGAGCACATCTGCTTTCGCGCACTCGAAAACAAATTCCTGCATTCTTCATTTTATAGTCAAATCATTTGAATGCATTGGCGTGACAGCCGTTTGTGCGCGCAACATCCGGTTGGTGAGATGTTGCGCGCACAAACGAAAACTGCAAGTAGATCCAAAAGTTTCTATGAAAACATGCTTATCAAAAATCTCAGTGCATGTGAACACATTTAACACCTTATGCACCGGGCTACTTCCCTATTAAGTAACTACAGAGTACATAACTGCATTTCCGGCAGAAACTATATATATATAACAGACACCTTTTTCATTGCCGTTTTTCAAAATTCTGTGATTTACATAAGTTTACATTTCACCGATGCCAGCTCGAACATTACCACCACATGCTTCCCTTGAAACAAGATGTGTGAAGCAAATCAGTAAGCACCAAACGAAAACCACAAAACAAACTTTATCCGAGCAACTCACTGAAGAATCAAACCAATTTAATATCATAGTTACTGCCCATTTCGACATAGAAAACTGTAATATTAATCGGGATCCATCACGTCGCAGGCAACGTATAAGAAGATCAAAGGTGAGAAGGTAAATATCGAAAAGCCCGAAACTGCTGCTGCGGCATTATTGCCTCTACCTGCATCTTGTTGCCCATCCCCGGCTAAGACAGATTATATCGAAAAGCCCAAGGCGTTATTTCCTCTACTAGCACCATTTTTTTCATCGCCGGTTGCTGATATTTGATGGCCTCCGCATTTTGCAGGCGTTCAACCTCGTTCCGGCGCTGCTCGAACAGCCAGCGCATTTCCGCCATCCGTGTCTTGTTTGTATCGTTGGCGCCGCTCTGGGAATCGAAGTAGTTTTGAATGGTCGCCTCATTCTCCAGCTGCTTCTTGAACGCTTCTCTGTCCTTGGCTTCCCGCAGTCCGGCTTGTTCGCGTTGGACGTCTGCGCGGATTTGCTGCATAATTTGTGGTGACAAGCGGTACAGAGGCACGGGGCCGGTTAAATACTGACGCAGCCGTTCTGGAAGAGAAATGGGATTCGGTTGGGCATTGACGGTAACATCGCCCAAGAAATTTGGAAGGCTACCGGTAGCTGCGTCCTCTTTGCCGCTAAAAGCACAGCCAAGTGAAAGCGCGATGGCCACGACACGGACTACGCTCGATTTTTTCATGTTCACAAGAAATAAACTCTGAACTAACTAATTCGATATCACGTCGGATTTAACTATAATGAACAAGCTACCAAACCGCAAAGTTCGTATGTATTTAGGCTTTAGCGCCGTTAATGCACTGACTATCATAAATATTTAATGATAGTCAGGATGAACAAAATTACAGTATACTGCCGGACTATCTGTAGTCACGCGTTTGTGCGACGAATATAATGTACTCGCGTCTCGCATCTGTAACAAGAGGGCACGTGTCCGGACAAATGTTCCAAATTACAACAAATCCGGTTATATAACTGCGTAATTCACTCTAACAAAAGAAACGCTTTAAGTTTATTTCGAAATGACAGCAGCACTTACTAAAAGAAACTTGCTGTTGAATAACCGTTGAATGTGAATACTGCTATACAGTAGTTCCAAAGCAGAATTTGATTTTAATACCTGCTCCCTTTTCCTGCACAACCGTTTCGTTACCTGACATTTGGTCGCGCGACTTACGGGAGTTGGAAATTTAACAAACGAGTTTAACCACAAATTTCAATTTCCGACAAATTATTTTGATTCGAAGATCACGAAAAAGTTATTGTGTAAGCAGTGAGCGTAATCTAAGCACTACGAATACGGACCCAGGATACGCATCCTGTTATTCTATGCAATCACCGCCTTAACTCTTGAATGTAAGTATCTCGGTAAGCTATTCATGTCAACCTAGTCATTTGTCAAACCATTGCCTAAATGCGGTAGTTCACGCTGATAACTACGTACCACCAATTTGGCTTGCTAGTAAACAGATATCAGTCAACTACAAATTCTCTTAGCACAAAATAGTAACTGCCAAGTTTAATCATGAAAATGGCACAGGTTGTCCGACTAAGTGTCCTGGCGAGCGCGATTTTACTAACTATTAATCCTGTTTGGAATGCTGCGATCGACAACGAGGTGGCCGGAAGTGACGACCTTTCGAGACTCTTTGGTAATCTTTGTTCACCGCAAGCCATGCAGCAGCTCCGCGACACTTACCAGCGCCAACAAGCCATGCTGCTGCAGGGCAGGGGATAAAAGGTGGCAGTGGCACCTGCCACTGGCAACTGCCACCGGCAGTGGCAGTCGCCACTACGCGTTCTGGCAAGCGATAAAGCATGGCAACCTATTAAAATTCCGAATCATCTTGAGACAATTTTGCCATCCAACGATAAGTTCTAGGGAGAGCATTTTCGTATTTTCACAGATCGACTCTATAGAACTATGGATGCTATGGACGTACACCCCAGCTGAGTTTTGTTTCCGCGCCTTCCATGCAGTATTAAATGAGTGCTGCAATCGCTATTTAGCAGAAGAAACTGTCGCAGATACTCTCAGAATCAGTGTCGCTCACGATCGAAGCGCGGTAATGCGACGGTATTGTAAAAGCGTTCCATTCGTGCATGACTGGCGATCTCCAGCAATCGTTTGATTTTGGATGACTTGTCATGACACATTCTGAAAGCTAAACTAACTAATCTGTCACGCTTGATGAGCGCGGCTTAAAACGAGCGTTTTGACTAAGGTCCCGTCGGTCCGGTATGTGTCATAAAAACGACGAAAATACAAAAACTTCGTTGTGTATCGACAGTATCGTTCAGGTTTTCGCATCAGTTGTGAGTAACGCAAGAAACTGATGTGGCAAAAGTGTTTAAAGCTGTTGGGCTACAGGCTCGCGGCCGTAGGGCTGAGTCTGACTACTAAAAGTCGGAGACAAACTTGTTCGTTTTCATCGTTAACGGGTTTTATTCATTTTTATCGTTATGTTAGGTTCTTCTTAATTTTAGATTTCTTAGTTTCTTGAATTTCTTAGGCTTTCTAAAAATAAACAAATTTTCATAGAATTCTTGAAAAATTCTATGAAAACCTAAAAACCCTAAGAGTTCTGGGAACTCCTTAGAATTCTTAGGGTTTTTAGATTTCGTGCGCTTTTTGCGTTCGAACGCAAAAAGCGCAAGAAACTTCAAAAATTTATAAGTCTTAAAAGCTAGAAAATGTTTTGTCTGTAGGAGCCAGACTCCATTGGCACGGCGGATGCGGTGCAAGCTGAACTGCAAGCGGCTTTATCCATTGACGCATGCTGCCGCATTGATGTGCTAAACACCGGCTTAAACTCCTCAAAGGCTTCAGTTACGCCCAACAGACTGTATGACAGCGAAAAGGTAAAAATGGCCTGCGCTTGATTGTGGAAAACAAAAAGCGCGTATGGTTATGATTCTTTATGTATCTCAGTATCTGTGCTGTAGTTTGTAGGTACTACAGATGTGGTCGGTGTGCAAAATTTTTTGTTCTGTTTGTTTTCGTTTTTTTTTGAACAAATCCTGGGGAACAATCGGTGCGCACTCGGTTCGGTATCCCTTGTACTAAGTCGCACTAAGAATGTTTTTTTATAATCAGGGTTCATCATACTTGACGTGGACCATGCACATGAATGCCTTCAAGAGTTTAAGGGATTTTGAGTTGTTAATACAAGAAAAGTTATGGCTTCCTTCAATATTTTAATTTCTAACAGTTGCCACGTTTAATCGCTTGCCATAACGCGTAGTGGCAACTGCCACTGCCGGTGGCAGATGCCAGTGGCAGGTGCCACTGCCACCTTTTATCCCCTGCCCTGCTGCAGTCCAGGCAGAGGTACACCTACGAGAAGAAGCTGCATCTTCAAGAAATCATGCGAATCCTGCGAGAATCCTTAGGCAGCGTTAATAACTCCAACACCGTTACGCAGATGGAGGAACCGCGTGTGCTGACGGCGCAGAGCCCGAACGAGGTCCTGAGCGCTGCCGCCATGGAATATCACCAACAGGTTATGGAAGGCACGTCGCAGATATATTCCCTCGTTATTCGCTTATGCCGCTTGCCGACCATTCAAGCGATGGCAGCCGGCATGGCGGATGACGAATCACGATTAATACTTTTTGAATAGGAATTGATGATCACTTATAGGAAATATGCTGCAGGTGTTTCAGTTTTTGAATAATGGGTGTAGATATAACGTGGTTGTCATAATATTTTCCGTTGTGTTCCCGTTGTTTATTTCTTGTTTGCATCTGATATCCAATGTCGCGAATATGCAGCCTAGACGTTCTAATTTGGTTAGTTGGCCGAATGCAGGATTAGAACCTACAGTGCTTTAAGAATTGGCATCACAAATATCCAAAGAAGCTGACTTTCGAGATCGTAGACAAAAACGTATCGGCCCGCAGTAACATATTGTATGGACAAGTAGTGGCAAAGGTTTTTGACACTTGTCCATACAATATGTTACTGAAATTTTCCATTTAACGGCGTAGGTCTACTAGTTTTTCCCCGTCATTACTTTTCGGGCTCTCTTTAATATTAATGTGGGTAATCGATAAGTATGACGTAAAATAATGCT